GGGCGTTATCTCGGTTCCTCCAACGCATTTTTCTGGGGCCACGGCATCGATTCCCAACCTAGAATGACCTCTATCAAATCACACGTCTAAAACATTGTCATCCATTTCATTCTCCTTGCAAAACTGAGTTTCAGGTAGGCTAGATCTACAAAGAGATGGATAGATTGCGTGAAAGGTGATATAATTAAGAGTGTGACGACTGAGATAACGAACGAGAGATGTTGAGGAAGAAAATTACGTCGACCTCACATAGAGTGTGATAAGATGTTTCGAAAACTGAAACCCAGTTATAGCAATCTGTAGTCTCTAGTCCCAAGTAGCAATTTCGTGGAGTTCGACTAGTAACATGTTTCAACATTAATGTAATATTCTCAGATGGTGACGTACGGGTAACATTCTTCAACAACAGCATCACGAATGTAACAGAGCTGCCGTCGGTCCCTGGGAACAGGATAGCGATCATATTTAAATCCAACGCCATCGTGGAGATAGAGGACGGCGCGTTCTCTAACATACAACGATTGGTTTACTTGGACTTGAGCAATAATCAGATCTCGGGTAAGTCTTTATCAAGTATCTAATTGCCTACATTTAAATTTTATTGTTCTCTTATACAATTGAATTAAAAAAAATGATTTATATGTTAGTTTAAGACAAAAACTGAGACTATAACAATAAAACACAATTGCACAATGATCTTAATCTAGATCATTCTTTAATCTCCAATCAAAAGAGTCGCCGCATAAATTTTAATAATAGTCATCCGACCCAGTTGCCCGCTTTCTCTTAAACGTCGACGTTTATAGGTCGCGCAGAATCGCTAATAAGGTGAATACGTAAAGCCTGTGACGTCATTATGGTGACAGAACGTAAGCAATACCTGCCGTACTTTAAAACATTACATAAATGTAAACCACTCTTACAAAGTCTATATATACCTATACTGAGAGTCTTTTAGGCAACATTTATAATAGATGTCCTAAACTCAAAAAAAAAGAGAAAAAATATTATCTACATACTCGGCTACAACTGTTTTCGATTGTCGAACCCACGATTGTGGAAACAAACGACACCTGGAAATTTAAGAGTTCATCCAGTGTTAGAGAATACAGAGGGACAGACACAAAAGGTGTCTTGAAATCATGTGAATATTGCATAAATTAATAAAAAAAAACAGGTACAAGATTGCTCTGCTCCACGTACCAAAAGGTACAACGTTGTATACTATGGTACTATAATGTAAGTATTGTTTTTAGGTGACGTACTAAGGAGTGAAATCTTCCAAGGGCCATACAACAACACAGTGTATAATAGCATAGCACTGGAGACTTTGAATCTGGGCCGCAATCAGATACACTCCCTGGACAGATACTTATTCCAGTATACGCCGAATTTAACACGCTTATATCTCAATAACAACCCCTTTGAGATATTGGACCATGTCACTGTGTTAGCTCTCTCCAGTGCCACCAACTTACAGGTAGGTTTAGATTTAAATAAACTTACAAAAGGTTTATTAATTTGTTTGCATCACCGAAAATCATAAACGTTTACAATTAGAGCAATCATTTTAGAATAAATCAAGATTGTCTACTATTAAAAAAAAGTATCAAAGCGCCTTATCATATTCGTTTGAATAGCTTTCACTTACAATGACGTTTTATTTTGCCAGTTTATGCAAAACATATTAGCATTAAATTTTCACATAAACGATCCGCTTGAGTTGAATAAATTGCTACATAGTGCTACATAGTATAGTGCGTACACTACACTATGTAGTTTCTAATACTTGATAACACTTCAATAAACATAACATCTCAAGTAGGCAAACCTTACCTGGAATACGTCATTAGAAAATTCAACGTCATTAATATTCATTGAGAGGATCAACTATTTTTGATATAATATGCATGCAAACATTTATATTTTAGAAAGTATTATTTTCTCCTTATCTAAATTAACAAAAATCTCCTTGTTAAATACCGAAGTAAATAAAAACGATTTCATTATGGTTGTCACTTCAAGTAGAGGGATTTATACAAAAAGTTTAAAATAAAATAGAACAAAGTTCTTAAACAACATATAACTGAATATATAAGTGGTTTCTAGTTAGATTGTATATGTATATAAATAGGCGTATGTCACGATATCGCTGTTAATTCAATTATAAATACCATTACAATTATTGATGAAAATCGATTAAGTTAAAAATACCGGTTGTAGACTCGCTTCCCACGTGAATGAGAATAATTTACATAACTTCATCAATCTTCACATAACTCTTAATTTTATTAAAAAAAAAAAACAATAAAAAGTACATTAACTATAAAAACAAATCCTTAAAGGAAAACTTTCCCTTGTCCATATTACGTCCATCCTCATCATTCAACATAGAAAAACATTCATAAACTGACGTCTACTATAAAAATTTTTATTTAACATCCAAATGGTATTAAAAACTAACACATAAAGTATTCAATAACATGCACCTTTACCATTGCACAGATCGCGACTGAATCAATAAACATTTTATCGTTAAAAAAAAAACAAAACGATCGTGTTATCAGAGAAGGAGGTTTGAATTATATACCGGTCCGGACAAGATTATAAATTATCGAAATGACACACGTATCGACAATGGGAATTTCCCCTCGAGCTTCTCCAAAGATATATCGAATCATTTAGAACAATGGAAACATGAAATGAGCGCTAAAATGCCGTATTATGACAACTTCTAATTTTTTAAGTTCAATGCTATTTTCATATTTTTTGGAATTACAGGAACATAGTATTTTGTTTGTAGTGTTAAATGATAGAGTGTGCTCGTTTGTCAAGGTATAAAAATGAAAGTTTTCTATCTCATGACAGTAAAACTATATCAAATATAGATATGATTTTGAATTATTTTCTTAAGAAATTTCTCAGCTGTTTCCTTCATTATAAAAGTCACATTTTCCTAAATGACTAATTTAACGTGGATTTAGTTATCAATATACTACGTGGCTGTTTACGTCGATTCTTACTTGTATTTGCATATAGATGTATAAGATAAGATCAAAACAATATTAATATCAAGTTTACCTTTGTAAATAACTTTTTATAATAGGTTTAAATATAACCTTATTAACACGATTCGTAATAGAATTATACTCAAAGGTTGTTCATATTACGGGAATCATAAGTAAAACATGCATTTAAATACTCTTAAATGTACAAAGTGATCATAATAACATGAGACTTGTAGCAATGACGTTGCAAACGCATCACATACATCATACAAAAAAGGTCAATCATAGAATAAATAAGAAAATTAGCTAAAACGAAAACTTCGTCGTATATTGTACAAGAAAGGACAGAGAGCGAAAAGCTTGTTAGTCACAACCCGCGCAGTCATATTACGCATTTCCTTAAATCTATTTTTTCTATACATATAATAAAATTGAAGTGTCTGTAATATCAAAAGGAAAAATTTCAGATTTCGAGATGATTTATTTACGTTGCTGATAACGAAAATCTGTTTATCCGCAAACCGCGTTTGTTCCACAATTTCCAAAACGACTGGGCCGATTTCGACGGGACTTTCACTAGAGGGTAGCTGACACAGATAGGCATATTATAGGCTACTTTTTTAAATTCCGCGCTGTCAAAATGGCGTAACGGGTGGTCCAAATTTGCGCTAACGCAGTTTGCGAACGACAGCTCGTCATAACTAAGTCTTATGTTAAGCATTATTATTTAAGATAACATAAACTTGAGGTGTACCTAACAGTTTACGATTTTCACAATTGCAATTTCAGGTCTTAGATTTGTCAAAAACGGACATCGATTCTATACCTTTAGACGCGTTTAGAGGTCTAGTGAACTTGCAACAAATAGACTTGTCCGGCAACAAGTTTGTCAATGTGCCTGAGAGTCTGAGTATAGTTGGCAGCACTCTGCAGTACCTCACGTTCAACAACAACCCAATTGTTGAACTTAACGATGACAGCTTTGTTGGTAAGTTGCATAATTTTAACCGGTAACTTAGTCCCCTTGGTTCAACTATACGCGTCTAACTATAGCAAACATGCTAACTAAAGACAAAACGAGTCTACAGAAGTTAGAGTTAAGTTTTCCGAACTTTTGCTTTTATTTATAGAATTTTATTAATCAGTTTCTTAGAAAAAAGCCTGAAATATAATAAAACATGAAAGATACAGATGACAAACTAAAGCAAACAATATAATATGTATTACGCAGAACATTTCTTGTTAAGTCTACAAAACGAAGGAGGGGATCGATAAAAATGATGTATTTGTTCGTGGAATTACATGATAAAGTCATTAATAAATACGCATTGACAGATGTATTGATATCGCCGGATAACATACATGCGTCAACATTCCTTTTTTTAGGAAAATAATGAGCTGATGAAATTAATAATTATAGACAGGGCACACCTGCGTTAAAAATTAATAGTAATATGTACTTCAAATTAAAGAGAAAATACTTTACATATAAGTAACTAGTTTCGCCTGCAAATACGTCCGCGTGGAATAAAAAAAAGCACGTAGCCTATGTGTTCTTCCAGACTATCCACTACATCTATGCCAAATTTCTACTTATGTCTACATACTATAACAAACATCTTTCCTTCCATCTAAACTTTTGCATTTATAATTTTAGGTAATAAGTAAGATAAGTTAAATAATAGACTAGACATTAACACATAATAACAAAGATAACTCCAAGAAAATTTAAGAACAATAATGTTTGTTTAACCCGATATAAATTCACTATGCATTGTTTACCATTTTCTATCCTTATTAATATGAATAAATGAAAATATTACAAGCTTTTATGTAAGTTTTATAAAACTGATTTCGATATTTTTAACTACAACGCGGAAGTGATTGTAATTGAGTTTACGCGTGTACGATACCGCGTCGATTCAGATAGAATCGGATGTAATAGTTACATCATGCCAATTCTCCATTTTACAAACAAAATATTACTATCATTTAGTGAACGAGCTTAAATAAAACAGTACATTTTAAAGATAGCTCTTGCTCGCAACTTCGTCCGCGTGAAATAAAAAGAAAACAATAAAAATATAGCCTGTGATACTGATAACATAGCTTTTAATGGTGAAAGAATTTTTGAAATCGCCCAAGTAGTTTTTGAGTTATTTCAATACGTACAAAAATACAAATCTTTCCTCTTTATAATTTTACTATAGACTAATTGTCTTGTCTCCATCGAAAAGAACATAGTTAATAAATAGAAAGAAAAGAAATTGGGATATTTAGAGTTGGAAGAAATCTATTTTTTATGTATTGCGTGCTATGAAGAACTCGTATGTAAATTAAAAACGACATAATAAATTAATAAAACGATAACTATTTTTTTTAATAGGTCTTAGCAATCTATTGGAACTAGAAGTCGGCGAAAATCGTTATTTGGAGGAAGTCAAAAGAGGTACATTTACGCCTCTTAAGAAGTTGCGCATCTTGCATCTCTGTCACAATTCTAATCTGAGATACATCAGTCATAACGCATTTAGAGCTCTTAAGGATAAATGGACATTGAAAGAGGTATAAACCAATCAGTATATTGTATTTCTACTATTATTTAACCTCCCCCCCCCTCCCACCATGGGTCATTTAACTCTTTATTATATTAAAGGTCTAAATTAGTCAACAAAAAAGCTTTTATATCTGTCTCTGTCCACTCTATTAAATTTAAAGGATGTGAAAATTATGTAAAAGCAGTAGCTCTAGAATATTCTCTTACTAGCTTTTACCCGCGACTTCATCTGCGCGGATTTTACATAAAACTTCGTGATTAACCCATGCATACATACTATTAGTTTGACATATGACAATATGATAAAGCATTCTATTTCTAGAAATAGCCAAAAAGTAGTCAGTGGTTATGTAAAATCATTATGAATCATAGAATGGTATGTCATAAGGATTATCTAAGATATGCAATAGTAGCAAGCAATAATAATGTACAGATTTAGTAATTACTAGCTTTCATCCGCGACTCCGTTCGCGTAAAATTATAAAAAAACAAAAGCCTATGTGTTTTTCCAGACTATTCTCTACATCTATACCAAATTTCATCGAAATCTGTTCAGCCGTTTAGGCTACAAACTCTAACAAACATCTATCCATCTAAACTTTCGCATTTATAATATTTATAAGATTACCATAATTTAGATGTGTTAACACAGATTTTCAATTTCATCTTACAATCACATAATGTAATCATAAAGTATGTCTAATTTGATTTGCCCCACTTTGGAATGCTTACACGACAGCTTCAAAACTGGGTCATCTGTGTAATCATTTTATGCTTATTTTTGTATCAGTCAATATGTTGCAAAATTTATCAAAATAACGAGGGCAATAATTATTATAAAAATTATATATTATTGCTCACGACTTTAGCCGCGTAAAATTAAAATATTAACAAAAAAAATATAGCCTATGTTACTCACAGATAAATTACCTTTCTAACTGTGAAATAATTAAAATCAGCCCAGTATTTTTTGAGTTATTTCAATACAAACAAAAATACAAATCTTTCCTCTTTATAATATTGAATATAGATATATACGGATTATTATCATGTTATATTTCTTATAGGTATATATGGATGATAACAATTTAAGTGAACTGTCAGCAGATTTAATGCCATGGAGCCAATTAAAGATTCTAGGGATGACTGGAAATAGTTGGCTTTGCAACTGTGACCTTGCAGAGATCATTACTAAACAAGAGGCAGGGACTAAATTTAAAGATGGAGATATCCCATAGTAAGTATAATAACATAAGATATGCCAAACGAAATTATAGATGTCAATGTTATAAAATTATAATCTTAAAAACAATAAGACTTAATACTTTTAGAAATCATAAATCAATAATTTCCGTTTTTTTAGTTGTGCGGCACCAATGAAATATGCTGGAACCTACGTAACAAATATATCCATGGCTTTTTGTCCAACTTTTGACTCAACATTTGCCAACAAACGAGGATTCTCCATATCAAATTTAAGACCAAAACATGTTCTATGGAGTATATTTGGTGTAGCAGTAGTTGTTTGCATTGGAATGTTGGTAGGATTGCTTGTGAACACAATCAAGGCTTTCTATAATAAAAAGCTACGGAGCCAACCTATTCGTTACATCAACCTACACTCCGATACAAGCTATGCTTGAAAAATAAATATATTCTATTATAGTTTGTGTAAACTTCATATCTTACTCCAATATAGTATTGATTAGATAAAAAATTACATATCATTGATTAGTTGTAAGAATAAAATTGCAATTAATCATTGTTTTATTTAAACTCACCTCTTTTGAACCGGAAAGTGAATTTGCATACTGAAGAAACTGTTCTAGGAGCCTTTCTGATTTGTGAGTTAATTCTCTAAATGTGTGAAATCCATCAAGTTTGTGTGCACAACTCCCACAGACCACCTGTGGCAGCATATCTTCTGGTGATACCTAGAAATATTATCATGTCATTAATTCAAATACATTAGTTTCGAAACTTCACAGTCATTCCTACAGATGATGTGGCCAGTGACCTTTTGCAAGTATAATCATAGATGGTGAGTCATTGCTAGTCAATCTGATAATACACAGTATAGCAATATCCTGCTACCTTTGCTCAATTTAGATGGAAGACAAGTTGAAGATAACACTGTAGGAGTGCAGTCCCCCACATTATGAGTATCTAAATATAGAGAATATTGCTTCCGAAAATAGCAATATGTATGTGGTTAAAATGAGAATATGTAGAGAGCAGCATTAGGCTGGAGGACGTCGGAGGTGACGGGCTGAGGACGCGGGGGTCGGGCGGTCGGCGGTAGCTCACCACGGAGCGATCATCTCAGCGCGCTCCTTTGTTATCAGCGGCGACTGATACAGCGTCCGCCACCCGCCTCGCCTATCACTTCCAAGAACGACATTAGTCATACAGTCGAGCACTCGACGCGTGGGCCGTAATATGATATCACAATGCGAAAATATCCAACACCCGCGAGAAAGTTAATGGCGCTTATCAGTATCCACAATCTCTTACGCTTAGACTAAACTTTCACACGAGAAAACGGCATCTTCTTAGCGGTAAAAGATAAAATATTATTCAATAAATTACCATTATTGATAAATATGTCGTTATCATCTCAGATAGTTGTGATTTATCCTTATCACGATCGAATATTGGAAGTTTAACATCACTGCAATTATCGCCACAGAATGATAAACAAAGGCGACACACTGAATGGAACTTCGGCGGCAAATTACACATATTTAGAAACCAAAATAGAGAAACGTAATCACGACGAAAGAAAACATTTAGAAATAAATCTTTTAACTAATATAAAAATTAAAGTCTTGATGAAAATATAACTCAGCATGCGATGGTGTAGAATACATCACATCGCGATTGTCAACCAAACGTACGATCAAGCTACACACACACAGAAACACCCCATTGTTTACGGTACACTGATTAATGCGCGTGTATGCGCATGCTTGTGGCGCTAGTGTTCATTAAGTTGACGTACTGATAAAATGATAACGTTGTCAAATGATTTCTGCTATCAGTAATATAAATATTAAGATTTTAACATGAACGCTAGGTCCACATTCTACTTGAAATAATAATTTAAAGTTGTGGTATGTCCATTAAAAACAAATCTTGTTCACAATAATCGTATACCACTTTTTACGAAGCATTCAACTTTCGCTGACATTTAATGCTGAATCCAGTAACTCATTTTGAATTGAAGATATCTAAATAAATTCACAATATATATTGTTTTTTGAAAAATTCTAAGGGAGATTTGAGAGTTTAACTTATCCTCTTTATACAAGTCTTCAGACTTCCGTACGTTTTTTAAAGTGCAATAAAGTAACTTAAAATTAACTTTTACTTTTCGATTTTCATAGAAAGTTTTTAATCTAGGTAACCGTGATTATATTAAAAATCCTTGGAGGATTAGGTTGATAATAATAAACAAATCAAACTTGGCTATACTTTATTTTTTCATGGCGTATATAAATTTGTCCATAATTTGGTAAAAAGTCTAATGATTCTGAAAAGAAGGCATTCAAAAAACTCTATTATGGTTTTAAACCAGTTTTTATTTGTTGATTGACTATTTCATATAAAGAAGTGATTTTACACTCAAAGTATTATATTTTCTGATTAATATGTCTCTTATTATTCCTATATCAATTATTTATTTTGTTATGTCGCTCGATTCTGTTTTGCAGCATTTTAGGTATTTTTTAAATTCAAATAAAACTGATTGAAATTCAAAAGAAAAACCTATGAAATAACTAAAACACGAAAATAATGATCAATAAAATGTTCAAACACATGAGTTATTCATATCTTATTTACCTTTGCCTTTAAAGCGTAAAAACAAAATGTCAAATTATGTGTCATAGTCATATGTTGTCACGTCATGTCAGATTTTGTTTTCCAAACAATAGTTGTTGAATAGTATTGTTGTCTTTTAATTTTAAAAGAACTAAATAACAATGTTATATATCATATTTGTAATAAAAATTTAAATGAATGGTGCATGATTTATTTAAAGTTTAATGTTACAAAATGAATAATGATACTGCACCGACTCGTGTTGAAGAAACTGTAAGCGAAACCACATCAGACACGGCGCAATTGATAAGCCATGAAGCAAGCACATCTAACTATACACAGCTGAATAGATCAGTTACATTTCAGGTATTTATGTTATATTAAAGTGCTAACGCGGGCGGCCTAAAATATTCTTTAAATATATTCTGTGGAAAACCTTTGCCCAAACAATATAAACAAATTGCATTTTAAATAGTATTTAATGAAAAAGTCTTTGTCTATAAAAATCCATTAAGGAAATATATTGTGTTCTACAATTACATTAATGTAAATATGGTGTTTAATTTATTTTCTTAGCATTCTGATGATGAAGAATTGAACGGCAGCCATGGCGTAAGGAGAAGACAGCCAGTACAAAAAATTGAACCAGGTTCTATGAATATACTCTCTGCTAAATATGAGGTAAGCCTTGGTTAGGAACATGTACAATTTTCCTTTTAGTTTGAGCATTTGTCCTGCATTCCAATCCAAACCTTCAAACAAAGATAGATTACAGACTATCCATATTTAATATATATTTCTTCAATGTTCCAGAGCTTAGATTATGATACATGCGAGAACCATTTACTACTTGATGAAGAACGTAAAAGGGGTTATCCTTTTATTGTATGGAAGGACATTGCTCGCTGGTTTGTTATCCTGCAGATCGGAATTGTTACAGCGCTAATCGCTTTTTTTATTGATATATGCATTGAAGAATTCTCAAGAATAAAATATAAGCAACTTAAAAAATGTATCCTTTTTAAAATACATTTATAAGCTAACTTATGACGGAATATTGAAATGAATCTCAAATAGATTATTGCCGACATTAAATTGTTTAAGACAAATACTTTTGATTGTAAATAACCAATCTATACATATAATAAAATTGGAGTGTCTGTTTATAGTATCAAAAGAAATATTCAGATTTCAGGAAGATGATGTATTTGCTTGCTGATAACGTAAATCTCATTTAATATTTTTTTGTCTGTCTCCCCAAGCCGCATTTGTTTCGGGTAATCTCCGAAACGAATAGACTGATTTTGACCGGACTTTCACTGAAGAATAACTGACATAGACTGATATATTATTGGCTACTTTTTAATCTTAATGTTGCGTGGATGTAGTCACGGGCAACAGGAAGCTCCTTAATAAATATACAGCTGTCGACATCTATGTATTGGAAGATAAACTATACATACCATACCTTCTGTGGGTATTATCAAACATATGTATAGTGTTTTTTGGGTCAATGCTGGTTGCCTATGTTGAGGTGAGATAATATTTATGTTAATAATTATTAGATGTAATAACTAACACAATTTATTTATTATAGACATAATAGAATACTCAATTGATACTGCAACATAACAATTAATAGGTTATCTAATAATTTTACACAAGCTTTTATACTTTATCTGCCGAGGTTAGAGGAGGTTATTGCAATGACAGAACGACCAATCACTCTTTGACTTTTATTATTCATTAATAATTAATAATTCCACTATCACACAAGTGCAAAAACGGAAAAACCTACATTACATCAACTTTGTTATCTCCTTTCCAATTTAGGTACATAATTGTAATGGGTATTTCCTATCATTGTCCTTAATTTATTTTATTTGTAAAACTTTTCTATGTTAAATTATGATATACTTGCGTTTGGCCGCGACTCTGTCCATTTGGAATTAAAAATGTAATAAAAGTATAACAAAACTCTGGGGTACCTTATGTGTTCTTCCATACTATGTTCTGCATCTATGCCAAATTTCATCAAGATTCATTTAGCAGTTTAGACTACAAATTACAACAAACATTCATCTATCCATCTAAACATTTGCATTAATTATATTAGTATGATAGTTAAATTTAAATATTAATAAGATGGTTAAAATTAAACTTCTTTATAATATTTTATGGCAATTCCGAGGCCCATCAATTGCACTGAAAGTGTCTGTTGTTTACAGCCAGTGGCGGCAGGCAGTGGCATACCACAGGTGAAATGTTACCTCAATGGTGTCAAAGTACCGAGAGTAGTGCGCATCAAGACTCTGGTAGTGAAAGCGGTTGGTGTCATCACCGCTGTGGTCGGAGGATTAGCTGGAGGAAAGGTATAGTTGCTTATGATGTTCTGCATTGAATATATTTGTAGATTAAGCAACTTTTATCACAGCTTTAAAGATGTCTATTTCAAGTGTTTCATGCAATCCATCAGTGTTTTATTTTTTTTTACTAAAAAAATGCTGCACTAACAATTTTTTCTTTTTTTTATTAACTACCTACATTTTAGGAAGGTCCTATGATCCACAGCGGGGCGGTAGTAGCAGCAGGTATATCGCAAGGAAAGAGTACGACTTTCAACAAAGACTTCAAGATATTTCATTACTTCCGCGAGGATCATGAGAAGCGAGATTTTGTGTCTGCTGGCGCTGCGGCAGGTGTGTCCGCGGCTTTCGGAGCTCCAATAGGTATAATATTAATACATCTTTAACTGGGAAATCTATACTATTAATATTATAAAGAGGAAAGATTTGGGTTTTTGGTTTTTTGTATGTCGATTCACGTAAAAACTACTGGGTCGGTTTCAACATTTTTTCACCATTACAAAGGTAATTTATCTGTGAGTAATAATTAATA